TGCTCTCTGTGGCTCCAACACAACTTAAAGACAATCAAAGGTTGACAAAGTTCTCCAGAAGAGCTGTGCAGGAGGTCATGACCTTTGACTTTATTCATTAGAACAAGTTTATTTGAATTTACTGAAAGAGTGGAAGGTTGTTGCTACACCTTGACCTATTTTCGTGTTCATTTCCTGTTACTGTAATACCCTTTGTCACATTGCATATGTGGTCAGATGTAGGTGTTTTGGTTTTGCTAAGCAGAAACATCTGAGACGTGTCTGTAAAACAGGATGTCAAAGCGAAACAAGAGTCAGTTGGTTCAGCTTTGTGGTAGAGTAGAGCTCACCTACAAAGTATTTTGTTCACAATTGCTTGTGTTGAACAAACCTTAATCAGGTTCCTTTTAACCTACAGAAAGAGCAGATGGATTATACCAACCTCAAGCTTTTTAGCTTTATATGGATTTTTGTTCCATCCTGATGATTAGAAGAGTGTTTGAGGGTTTAACAGATTTCCTGAGAACAACAGTAAGTGTTTGCTGTCTTTTTCTAACATCATTTGAAGTCTTTTAGGTAAAAAGATTCAGTTTTTATAGTGGATGTTAACCGTGTAACATTTGAAACATTACATCATTTCTAGAAAACTCACATTTTATTGGTCCAAGATATCAAACGTTGCTTCAACGTCACTTCAACGTCACTTCCATACGAGACGTTACACCGTTGAAGTGTGGAGTTAGACCGAGCGGCTGAACGACAGATCTTCTAACAGTCAGTGACTTTCAGCTTTATTTTAAACCTTAAATTTAAACTTGTGTCGTCAGATTTAAACTCAGGTTCAGTTATTCGGTGAAAATACCGACAGACTCAGACATTTAGGACAAACTAAGAGTCAGATCAGCAGCAGCAGAGACACGGAAATGTCTGCTGTAACTGCGTCACTCTGCTCCACGTTGCTGATGTTCGATGAGGCTTCATGTTTGTCTCTGCGGGTGAGATTTAACTGTTATAAAACAAACTGAGTGTCACTCTGGTTAAATTTGTTATGTTTCTCAAAGAATTATTTTTATATTGATTTAGTTTGTCTGTGTGTGTGAAGGAGACGCGAGGCTGGGTGGGGCTGTGTGGACGTCCGTGTCTGTGTGGACGTCCGTGTCTGTGTGACAGAGACAAAGAAATCTAATGTGTGTGTTTTATTTTCTTTCAGATTTTCCACCCTGGTGACCACAGAGGCCTTCGAGGGTTCCAGACGTCCTTCAGAACAACAGTAAGTGTTTTCTTTCTTTTTCTAAAACTCACTTTTAGTCTTTTAAGCTAAAAAAAAACATTTGATGGTTTCAGTTTACAATTCACCTTAATGAAAAATGTCAAGAGAAAATTTAACAGAAAACCTCAAATTATAAAACTAATGAGACTTTATTCTTTAAATTGGACAGCACTGGATGGTTTACACAGTTTACTAGTTTTATAAACTGATGTAAGCTGCTGCTGGTTCTCAGGTTATGCTGGGCTTACATTGCAATTTTTGGCCCATTTTTGGCCCATTTTGAGCCGATTTTTGAGTCGTGCGACCGTTTTGGTGATCGGCCCGATTTTGGCCTTCATCGTGCGTCGCGCATCGTGTAGTATACGTGGGGTAACGAGAAGCGATTAACACACGATTAACACCTGTTTATTAATTAATTTATTAATTCATATTAACACCTCACGACCAGCTTCCGATCATCAATCGCTTGGTCGTGAGGATGTCACTGCAGCTTCTCACACTGCGCACGCGCAAACATATAAATGTCAGCGAAAAAGACGGCGCAGCACGGCAGTGCAGCCTGTGATCTGGACACAAGCGATGGAGGCACAAC